CAAAATCAAAGAAAGAAAAAAGAAAATGGGCTAAAATGCATTTTTGAAAGTTGTATAGAACTAGGCTCTCACTCAGTGGTGGCAATCGAGCCGAGCGGTCGAGCCGTTCGGCTCGTACTGCAGCGACCCACGAGCCGCTCAGGCTCGTCAAAAGACGGGCCGCTCGCTAGACGAGCCGAGCCGAGCTCGGCTCGTTAAGGAGACGAGCGCTTGTGGGCACCCGCCCAGTAGCCGAGCTCATGGGCTTGTGAAAAAACCATTAAAAAAAAAAAANACACAGTTCCCTTGTAAGACAGCTTCAGAGCAAAACATTGATCATCCTTCTCTGGTTAAAGAAACCTTACTGGAAAATCAAATACTCAATCAGACTGAACCTGATAATTTGATTGAGATGGAGACTGCTCAGTCTGAAAATGACCCGTCCCAAAATGAATCTGAAACTGAGGAATATTTCCAAGAGACTGCCCTTGACAATTATCAGTTAGCTAGGGACAGAATTAGAAGAAATAGGTTTCCTTCTACCAGAATCAATACTGATGAGTTTGTAACCTTCTATTCTGAAATGGAATTTGTTAACTCTGAACCTGTGACTTTTGAAGAGGCAGTCAATAGTGAAGACTCCAAACTATGGCTGGATGCCATGCAAGATGAAATGGACTCCTTAATTAAGAACAAGACTTGGATTCTTGTTGATAAACCCAAACATCAAAAGATTGTGGACTGTAAATGGGTTTATAAGATTAAAGAAGGTGAACCAAATACTTCGGGAAAAAGATATAAATCCAGGCTTGTAGCTAAAGGCTTTACACAAAGAAAGGGCATTGACTACAATGAAATTTTTTCACCTGTTGCAAAGTACACTTCTATCAAAATCCTTCTGGCACTAACAGCCCACTTTAACTGGGAATGGACCCGCTTGATATTTAGCCCCTGTTTGTCTACCATTTTTACAAACATTGTTTTCTACAGTAAACAATCTCAACCACATATTCACTCAATAAAATATTGCACACACAAACCAATAAAATTATTTTAAATTTCAACCACACATTCTCCAAAAAATAATATTCCTTACTCAATTTCTCTACCAATAATGGTAGACAAACAGACTCTTAAAGTATCTTTTCAATTATGGAACGGTTTTCATGGTTTAATTTTTCTCTACAATTATGTGCACAATAATGATTGTATGAATATTGTGACTTGTTTACCTTTGAAAGATTGAAAATAAGTTAAACATAGTATCAATTGTCTAGAGTCCAATAGAGTATATAAATATACCGCTATACTCTACTTGATCTTTAAGTATCCATAAATTCTAAATACATTCTTTTACGTTCACATCCATCATAGAAATATAGTCAGGTCACATATGAGAATATGTTTAATTCTACTCGAGATAGATTATTACAAAATTTATGAATATTGATCTTCATAATTGAATCGTGTTGTCAAATCGTAAGGTTCGAGTGAAAGGGGATTGGAGATCCTAGTTCTTTTTTACTATTATATTTTCATCAAACTTGCATTCATTATAACTTTGTATTGAATTTATTTGAGTTAGGTCTTGCATTCATAATTAAATTATTTGATTACAATTTAGTTTTAGAAAAAATATTGATTGTATGAATATTTTGACTTGTTTATCTTTGAAAGATTAAAAATAAGTTAAACATAGTATTATTGTCGTAGAATCCGATAAATGATAAAAATATACCACCATGCTCTACATGATCTCTAAGTATTCATAAATTCTAAATACATTCTTTTACATTCGCATCCATCATCAGAACAATATATATTTAATTCCACTCGAGAGATATTATTAAACAATTTAGAAATATTGACCTTCACGATTGAATCGCGTTGTCAAATTGTAAGTTTCGAGTTAAAGGGGATTGATATAATGAGATTCGAGATCCTAGATCGTTTTTCATTATTATATTTTCATCAAACTTGTATTCATTATAACTTTGTATTGATTTTAGTTAAATTAGATCTTGTATTTAGGGGTAGGCAAAACCCAACCAAAACTGTCCAAACCGAACCCATCCGACCGGTTTGGGTCCCTTTTTTTTTGTTGTTTTTAAGTGTGTTCGATTTTTTGGTTGTGCAGACAGGTTATGTTGAGTTGGGTTATGGGTTAACCCCATAACAACCGAATAAATCCACCCAACCTGACCCGCCTACTTAAAAAAAAAAGAGGTGATAAGTGCAATTTGTGCACTTAAAATGTTAAACTTTACTTTAGGGTATTTTTCGTTATTTAAGTGTTGGAGCCGGTTTCAAAGCAATTGGAAAAGAAAGAGGATCAATTGGCTATTAAATGAAAGTTTGAGGACTAAATCTCATTTGAATAAAAGTTGGAGGATCAAAATGACGAGATAAGGAAGAAATGGACCAACTTGTATTACTTGAAAGAATTGAGAATTTGGATAGCAAACATTAACTAATTGGGCCTCAATTTGGATGGGCTTTTGATTGGATTATATATATACACACGAACCAGAAAAGAAAAAAGGAGGCGGCTGGGAATTGAACTTTTCTATTAACAACAAAAATCGACAGCTTTGGAGGAAGAAGAAAATCGGCAGCTTTGGAAAAAAAGAAAAACTGTGCAGCTGCTGAAATATATTATATATATATATACACAGATTGCAGTTACAAAAAAAACAAAAAAATATATATATATATAGGCAACCGAAATATATATATATACACACACAGAGGAAACCGAAATAGAAACATAGGCAAAGATTTACGAACAAGGCTATAAGTACATGATAATTTCACATGTTTTTTTTTGCCTGTGCAAAAACCTGTGAAATTATCATGTACTTGCAGATTTATTTAAGATTTACACATATATACACGCATACTGGGAGTTGAAGGAAGATTGGGCGGCTTCATAATTACGTTTTGTCAATTTTTTATGATGCCGTTCCACTTTTGCGTGTTTAGTTTCGATATTATGTTAGACTATATTTTTACATTGCTAAGATATAAATGACTATTGTTTTGAAGTTTTTAATATTAATTAATTATTTTGACGACTAGTATGTTTATTTTCTTGAATGTTAATTATTGTTTTCACCGACTTTTCAATTAATTAGTTACCTATTGAGATGATTTATTAGAATAATTTAATATCGAGAGAGAGAATATGTTTTTACCTATAATCTATTATTATCGAGAGAAATAATAAGTTTTTAGCTAAATATAATAGATATTGTAACATCCGATAGGGGATAGAGATATATCTCTATACTTTACATGGTTTTCATATGTGTTCTAGATCGTTTAATGTATTTATCATGTTCGCATCTTTCATCGAGAGATATGAGAGTCACATGGGGAACAAATTTGATAACTATCGAGAGATGTTTTTAATTAATTAGGAACACTGACCAACAAAAATGATTACAAATCGTCACTTCACTTTGTTGTGCTAAAAATGGATTAATAAGAGAGATTCGACATCTTAACAATACTTTCACATATTTGAAATCAAACTAGTTAAATTGTTTTCTAATTTAATCAATAATTTAGATATTAATATAAAAAATCCAAACTCCGTTTGCTATTCAATTAAGGATAATATTAATTAAAACTTGATTGAATACATAATTCTCGCACGTTCGACACTCTACACACTATTATATTACTTGATCACGATCTCGTTCACTTGTGAAAAATCAAACTACCAAAAAGAAAAAAAGATACACTTTGTTCTTTGTAGGCTTGACTAATGAAAATTGAATAAAATAATAAATATTTTTATTTATTTATTTACTATTTAATCTTGTCTATTCGAATTTAGTATAATAAAAAATTAGATAACTTTAAACTTTGTTGACAAGTTGTCCCAAACTGACCAACCTAACCCGACCAATACTTGTATTCATAAGTAAATTATTTGATTACAATTTAGTTTAAGAAAAAAAATCACAATTTCCATTTTTTCGATTAAGGCTAAGTTAATTTGAACTAGTACAATCTCCATGGATATAATAATTGAAATCAAGATCCATTTTAGTACTTGTTACCAAATTGTGCACTTGTAGTATTTTAAATCGAAAAAATTTCGCAACAATGATAATAGTAGAAAGCGTCAATAAATGTATCACTTATGTATGTATAATCACATCTAAGGTTAAACGTATTTTTGTATTGATTGGTCGGACATGTATATTAAAGAGTACTCAGTGTCAAAAATAGGGGAAAATGGAAAAAGAAAAATAAGTTTAGACCATGTTGCCCTCCCCGCAAACTATTTTCAATATCTCCATACATTACTTCTTTATACGCCAATATTTATTCAATGCGTGCTGCTTGGCATCTTTCTAATTGTTAAGAAGATGTGATATGCCGAAGTATCAAAAATACATTGGAGGACCGTAAGTTCAGGTCTCAACTCACTATGTCAAATCATTGCAACAACTCCTTAGTTCTCTTATCTATGATATGCTCACATGCATGTTGCGCTGACGCATTATGATTATGTGTGCATGCACGATCACATGAACGCACACTCGAGCGTGGGTACATGCTATTAGGAGGGATGGAGGACAGGCAGCCGTCACACCAGTATCAGATAATCTGAGTATTTTTTTTGACCCGACCATACACAGGCAAGCGTTATGCAAGTACAACATTCAATGTGTTTATAAACCTGGTTCGTCCCTCAAAAATGGATTTTTAAATACTAACATGGTAAGCGTTAGTGATTAAATATAAACGTCTTAAAGTTTAGGGACAATTCACGAGAATATTCACAAGTTGTGACTAACCGAAATGGGATTAAATATTAACGTCTTAAAGTTCAAGGATAATTCACGAGAATGTTCATAAATTGAGACGAACCAAAATTTTTACCGTATACACACACACACAAAGGAGGGTAGGAGATGAATTAATTACCAATCCAGGATTTTCAGTTAGCTTTGAGTTGATCTCAATAATCTCCCCAGAAATGGGAGAATTGACATCACTGGTGACTTTCACACTTTCAACAGATCTAAATCCAGTTCCTTGTGCGCAGTTTTACCAACATCTGGAAGCTCCACATATACTACTCCTAGATGGTCCTGATCATCAACACATTTAATCTCGTACGTTAACGTCATTTTCCTTAAAGCATTATTTGTCGTGTCACTAGTTATTGGTTTCTATGAAGCTAATAATAATAATTATTATACAAGTTCTCATATTGATGAAGTGTGGCTAAAAGTATAACCGTATTCCAAAATGTAATATCCGCTTAGAAAACACTGATTCAAGAACATGGCTGAACATATTCCACGAGGGAAAATTTTGAAGTGTTAGCGCCAGTACTCGTACCCTAGTCGTGATATCCTGAATGGAAGCAAACTCTTCACTCTTCAGGCTATGGTTATATCCTGCAAAAATAATATATACGACTATAAACATTAAGGGCTGTTCCGCTAGAATATCAAATCTGCATAGCTATGTATTTACACATATTTGCTAGTCTTCTCAGAAGAACTGTGTCAAACAAAAGCCATCACGATGTAAACTGAACTTCAGGAGATAGAAATCCAATCCAATCCTAGAGAGAGAGAGAGAGAGAGAGAGAGAGAGGAGCGCGTAGGATGTTTAAACATTTTATTTATTACGATACTAAGCCTCCTTGGGAAGAATTTATAAACGATTTAATTTATAAATATATAGAACTAAATTGTTGATAGTACTTGAGAGTCCATTGGAATATGTAGTTGAAAATAAAATTTCACCATTTACAAATGATTTATAAATTCTGCGAAGGCTAAAGTTTTAATGATCGTGAATGTAACAATATGATCCTCGACCATGATCCATTGAATTATGCCTTATCGACCTGACATGGTCCATGCGAGATTCGGTCCTTAACAGTAGCTTATGTACTGTCAGCAGGGGGTTGGCCCCAGCGTCCAATGATTCGAGCTCAAGAAAGGTATGGACCGAATCCTGCATGGACCATGTCAGACGATAATGCCGGATTCGGTGGGCGCTGGTTGGGGGTTGTATCGCTACCGTGAAATTTGCAATCCTTTGGGTTGAACATGAGACAGATTATATAGAAGGCCTTGTGTAAGAGACCATACCTTCATAACATGGAATGAAAATCGTGCCCGTTGGAGTTATTCTGCAGCCACAAACATTGAATGTCAGCAAATACACAACCACCAAGTAACTAAAGATGTAATCAAGGAACATACCTATCTCCAGGTGTGATTTGCTTGGAATGCTGTTTATTGCACCAGGACGCAACTCCAGAATACCTAGATCTAGAATTATAGCATTTTTTTTAACAAAAATTTAAAAAATGGAAAAGGAAAGAACTTCAAATGGAATAGAAAAGCTACTACTGTAACAGGTAAGTGCCTTGGATTAACAACCATACCAACAGTGTCAATAGATCAAGATTTTAATTCAAATTTCTCAACAGCAAGAGCCAACTCTGCAGCAGCCAGTCCTGCATCATTTCTGCTCTATTCTGGAATTATAGCATTTTTTTTAACAAAAATAAAAAAAATGGAAAAGGAAAGAACTTCAAAATGGAATAGAAAAGCTACTACTGTAACAGGTAAGTGTCTTGGCTTAACAACCGTACCAACAGTGTCAATAGATCCAGATTTTAATTCAAATTTCTCAACAGCAAGAGCCAACTCTGCAGCAGCCAGTCCTGCATCATTTCTGCTCCACATGATGTACAAAACAGGTATGATCATATTATAACATACTCAATTTGATAACCCATAACAAAAACCGAGAAAAGGGGAGGCTAAGCTTTGACAATAGTGAACACATAATCTTATCTTTTGAGTTTGCCAATTAGCAAACCAAGTATGTAAAAGAGATGGTTTAGGTTAGATGATATTTTCAGACAACTGAGATTATGATGACTTCTAAAACCATCCCCAAGTAGCTAAATATGTTGAGAAAATATTACCTCATAGGCATCAAGACTGCTCCTGCATGGTCTCCATTGCCTTCAAAGTCCACTTTGATGCTCGCTGGAGCGGCAATAGCCGTCACCACACCGATAGATGTAGCTACAGCAAATACAAAGCAGATTAGCAAGTGATAGTATGAAAAAATATAGCTTTTCACATAATGAGTGATAACAAATTTTGGAAAGAAGAAACCAAACCTTCCTCTTTCAAAATTGGACCTTGCTCTATGTGCAACTCTATGAAAGCAGAATAAATTCCTTTCTTCAAAAACACGCTGGCTAAGTCCTCTAGATGGTTCGCATATCCTGCAAATCTTGCAGCATCAAGAAAGGATATATTTTGACTACCTACTGTCCTCTAGAATTCTGCTAGTTCTTCACTTCCTGCCAATAAGCGGCTGCAAATTTTAGATAAACATCAGAAATTAAAGACATGACTTGGGAAAAAATGAGAAGAGAAGATATGAGAGACATTAAAAAAATATTTATGAAAATGTATTAGGGACACATGACTGCAACAATGTCTTTCTAACCGTCCCAGGCAGCTAAATCCAAAGCGTGTAGGCTCCTCCTCTGATGTGAACATGATCACTTCCATGGACCTTTTAGGTTCAAAACCAGACCCGTTAGAAGTCCTATAAACACCATATAAATAAAAAGTTTAATTAATCAACTATTACGAAGTACACACTTGATGCAAACTTAATTGAGTCTAATTAATCATGATAATCTTCGGGGAAAGAAGCCACTCGATAGAAACATAATGCCATAATGCATTTTCCAGCAATATTTGGTTCTTGAAAATAGCCATGCACTTCCGTATTTCAGCATAAACAGGAAGGTTCTGTGAAGAGCATGGCTACATCAGTTTGTTGGAATTCTTGTTCTGTATATTTCTGCAATTACATAATTGTGACTGGAATGAATCAGCATATGAAGAAAGTGGTGACTTCAGCATGTTTGCTTGCTTCTAAGTATTTTTTTCCATGAGCATATTTGGATAATTTTTCCTTACTTTTCAAGTAAGAAAATATATATATATATATATATATTAAAGTGACTCTTACCTTATTGTCAGAAGAGTAATGATTTTCCAACTTTGACTAACAAATAAACTAAAAAATTTTAAAACTAGCTTATTTACTTGTAAGTAAACTTTTTAAGCTTAGCCAAATATATCTTTCTGAGAAAAAGAAAAATGTCTTTGCATTTCCAAGAATTACCAGAATCATAAGCAATGTAGCTACACATTTGATTAATCAGTTTTGAAGGACTTTGTGCCTCATTTTTATCGGATGCACTCAACTTACGATCAGTGCCTGCAACAATTATGACGTTCACAAAATCAATTGATCTTAGATATTATGTGAAACTTGTAGGAAAAGGTAGAAGATCTCACCCTTGGCTTGCAGTAATCATCCAAGGAAGCCTATCATTCACATAATCTATAGCTTCCTCAATTTTCTCCATGCTATCCTCCCTAAACTTGAGTGATGAATAATATTGCCTGAAACAAAATTCCGAGAGGAAAATTTGATTAAAATCACTCCAACAAATGATCACACCAGTTCAACAGTAAATATTATAAGTAAGTTGCATATTCAGCATCATTATTCGTTATAACTAGCAGGGGTTATTAATCCAAGTTTTAATGTCCGTCAAGGAATGGTCCCTTCTCCTATTTCATGCCAATAATAAGAGTTGTAAATCTACTTACAGTAAATCGATTCTACAAGCTCTATCAGAATACTGAAGCAGCAGATATAAATGAAAACACTAATATAGAATTTCTGTACCTGCATAAAAACACAAAAAGACGCTATATAGCGCCTTTTTAACTGCAAACACTTCTGCCAATCTAAGGAATTGGCAAAAGCGATGTTCAATTTTAATTTATGAAGATACCTGTTCATTGGCTTCATTCAGCTTCTTTTGCCTGAATGTGAGCTAGTGTACAAGGCTGAGAATACGCTGTCTGTTGATTGGTAGTAGTTTCTGTAGGCCCAGTCCTAGTTTGCACATTGTCATTTGCAGAAGCCACCTGGAAAATAAAACTCTTTGTTTAGATAATTCCTGAAGATTATAAAACTATGCATTTATAATTCATCTGAGACAAACTTTTGGTACAGAAGATGAGCTACTAGTATTAAAGAAAAGCTCCTAAATGAAACAATTGAGATAAAAGTTCATAGGCCCACAATAGTTAGGATAAAGATAGTTAGAATTGAAAGTTCATGTACTCCTTGAGACAATTTCCACCACTCTACTCATCAAACAATCAGTCTGCTCCATAAGCATGAACATGAATGAAACAAATTCTTTCTAGAAAAATCTCTTTTAAAAATTACACAGAATTTGGAATAAATCTATTTACAAATGAGAAATGGAATTAAAATGGGGCCTTGTTCAATAGTTAAACTAGAAATTCCATAAGAGAATGAAATGCAATAGGAAAGATAGCACCTCCTTTATAGCAAAAATTGTAGACAGAAAAATAGAAAAGATAGCACCTCCTTTATACCAAAACATTTCACCTTGTTTAATGCGGGATGAAGTTTGAGAAAACTCAACACTTGTAGTAATAGTACATCTAAAATGACATTTCCACAAAAGTGGGGAAGTACAAGGAGTAAAGATTGCTTTGACTTCTCATATGCCTAGTACATACTCATCGTAGAGAATGTACCCGAAATTCACATCTAACCTACGGCCAAATTGAGGGTTTACAGCAAACTTCACCTAAACCAAATGACTGAACAACTAGATTATAGCTCCCCTAGGGAATTTCAATTCACCGATTATTTTTACAAATCACGTGGACAAAGAAATTACTCATAAGAAACACCTCAATACTGAGGGTTAGTACTGAATTCTTCAATAGTTTTTAGATTGTTATGATCATATAACATAATATAGGGGACACAGTAGCCAAAAACCATATACCATAGATATACACAATTAGATCAATGATGCAAGTTGGGAATAAATTACTATGACAAATTCAACCCCAAGTTCAGGATGGTCAAACTGAATCTGGGACCTAGAATGATCAGCTGTTAGCACACTGCCATCATGGATCTCCTTTGTTTTTGGATGAATGACTCGCTTTCCAACTGATAAGGGTCATGCAAGATCTGTTGGTAGTCCTTCCCTGATACCTTCACAGAGCTCAGTGCAATGTTTTCTAAGGGAATCCGATATTGATTAAGCTTCTCCTTCTCTTCTTTCAGGAAATGCTCAGAAAATTGTCGTGGTTTACCAAGAGAGCTGCAAGTACATGAGAGTGAAGATGTGAAGCTTTGTCTAACATACTCCTTCCGCGTCTTCAGCATGAAAATGATTAGCTAGAGACATACATTCTTATGACACTTCCACACAAGTTAATCTTGGAACATGACCTACATTCTACATGATACAAATGCTCAGCAAACTCCTGTTTTGCAAACCAAGGATAATCAATTGCACTATAAAACCAATCGTATGCACACCATCTCCGAACACGAGGATTCAATAGGCAATTAGACAGTTTTTTCTGCAACAAAAAAAGAAGTTGCAAAGTGGAAGTTAATACGTGAATAACCAAACATCAAAGTTTCAATAAAGTGGAGAGTAATAAACCATATGATCAAATGATCTTTCTTGCAGTGAGGCAAAAGGTGCGTTACTTCGGTCAATTGGAATTTTATTTGGGTTTTTGAGGTCCATCTTATGCCAGCTCCTGACTTTAGCAGGTAAGTTAACCACAGGGACCTGAACAGCTGATTGTGCCGAGTCACTTCCTTCTCTTTGTAGATCAGCTTGAAGAACTTTCAGAAACTTTCATCAATTTTGGCTAACCAGAATGTGAATCTTTCTTAATCTTGCTCATCAACTTCTTCCCCGCATCTCCAGCCTAAAAGAAAAAGGCATCGTTTGAATTCAGTGAGCTCTTGACCGGATAAGGTAAAAAGAAGCTGGAAAGAGGTGAGGTCAGTCTAATATCTGTTGTGAAAAGATGAATGTGCACTACTCATCTGTTGAAGACAGATAAAAAACCACATTTACCCTGTTCATCATGTAAAGAGCCTTCACCATTTCGATAGATCTGTTTCGTACAGCACCAGCCACCTGTGAACATGCAAAAAAACAAGAAGAAGCTGTTACCAATAGACAAAATAGTCAAAAAAGAGTGCACTCATCAATCATTAATCCACAAGAAGAGAATACCGAGCCCAACTATACCAATGATATACTCCAAATCTCGTGCAGAGATTTCTTACCATGATTTTTAGCTCAAACTACTAATCTCTTTAACAAGATCCCATGATTCTTTCATTTTATTTTTTCTGATAGACACATTTATACTTCAAATACTTTCACATCATAATCACTTACAGCTAGGGCTGTCAATGGATTGGAATCCGATTCGAATCCGACGAAATTAATGGGAGATGAATTTAGGGTCTCAATCCGATAACCCGATCAAGATTCGAATCCAATAATTCGTTAACTAAATGGATCAAATATGGATATAGGTCAATCCGATCCGATAACAATCCAATCCGATTTGTTATAAATAATTGAGTTGATAAAATATTTTTATGGCATATTATTTGTTACTAAAATAAATAAATTTAGAATAAAAAATAATCAAATTCAAAACATAAAAAAGTTTAAAAATTTTATAATTATTAAACTTGTT